ATATGTAAAAATATTGAATGAATAATATACAACTATAATAATATAATTCTCTTCTTCAAATGGGATGTAGAAAGCTTCTAAGGTATTATTTGACATAGATAACTTGATATGTCATTCATTCAATATTTCTGTTAAATATTAAATAGCATGCATTTAATATTTTTGGTAGTTAGTAATAGCAAATAAATTTACAAAATCCGTAGATGTTTAGAAATATGCATAAATATTATTAAGGTATAATATAATATGTTATCGCTAACATATTTGACACAAATAACAAAACCAACATTATTGGATGCAATCATCAAATATTATTTAGTTGGGTTGGGTTGATAGATGATCAATTGTAGGATTTTTTTGCCCATTACGTCTAGAAAGTGGGGATCATAGATGTTTGCTTGTTAATGATTAGATGATAACTTCTAAAACATGCATCTCTCTAAAAAAGATGACTAATGCATCTCTCCATGACCAACTAAAATATCTATATCCAATTTTATGGATGCAGATTAACAACTAACACATCCCTCTCTCTCTCTCTCTCTCTCTAAGATTATGTATGTTGCATGGTAATACCAACAAAGTTTATGGTCATTGCCATATTTAACAATTATATCTAGAAAATACTAAAAGAAACAGAAAATGCAAAAAACATGAAATATGAAAAAAAGAAAAGAAAATATAATAAAATAACAAATATTCCATTTTTGTAAGTTTTTTCCTTTTTGTCCAATTTTATGAATCTAAGCAGAAAAATAAAAAAAGAAAGCTAATAAAAAAAATAAATATATATAGAAGACAACACAAAAATCAAATAAAACTTTCTAGCCTTGACACCAATATTATGATTGGTACACCAATAATCATCAAAACGAATATAATGTTTTGGTTAGGAACGTTGTTTCTATGCAAAGCCGGTATATGTAGAAATGCGGGCTTATTAATGAATTTTTTAGATGGATTTTGTAACTTAATTTTTAAGGACATGTAGTCTCTAACATGGAGATCATGATATGAAAAAATAAGTAAATTTTAAAAACTATAAATAATAATTCTAGTAAAAAAAGTTAAACCCTTAGTTTCCATTGTTTTTAGATCGAACACCTGCTTGCATCCATCTTTAAGATGGATGCTTTACGCTTTTTAGACCGCATATGTAGTCATGTGGTCCAACCCCCATTAAACAATTTTCCTTTGGTTAGAGAGAGATGATACTAGGGAGAGCAATGTATGGAGATAAAGAGGATGAGTGAGAGTAGAGAATGGAGGAAGTGAAGGTAGAAAGAGAATGAAGAGTAGGTAGAGAGAAAATGTTTGACGGTAGAGAGAGGGTGAGAGTAGAAAATAAGGTAGAGTAGGAAGACCATGACGCACATTTTTTTAGTAGTTTATTACAGTTAGTAGAGTGAGTTCCACAATTGTTTGGAAGGGGTGGTTTTACAACAATTGCCAATAATATTTTATGGCATCTTTATGAGATATGAGGGAATATAGAGGTAGAAGAGTGAATAAATACATAAAGAGAGAGGACATGTTGGAAGAATGAGAGATTTTAGGAAGGTGAGATTCATGGCACGCACTTTTTTCAAAATTTAGAAATTTAGATAAGAATGTGATATTTATGGAGAGAGAAGCAACCTATATGTGAAATAGTGTTTGATGAAAGGGAAGATATATTAAGAGTTTTTAGGAGTTGGAGAGATTTTTTACTTTGAAAAGAGAGATAAGGGTTGACAATTTTTTATAAAGAGAAATAGTAGGGAGAGGGACACGTATTGTAAAATAGTGCGGGGGTCCTTCTCACTTAATATAAAGTAGATATGGTGTGAAGAGTCTCAAATTTATCTGAAGGGACTTAATGTTCATTAATTGTATGAATATACAGAGACAATTACATATGACAAAAAAAATAGAAATAAATCACAGATACATATACTATATCCAAATTTACCATAAATACAAGGTATTGTACCTACCAATCCCATATATATTGATTACAATATATACCTTATGGGTAAGCTTTCTATGATTCCCTTATAGCGTAAAACTTATATACTTCCCCTTATCCAACCGTCCATTCTGAATGGAGGGCTAAGATTGCCCTAATCACAATGTCATGTCTTTATACTATTTTATTTTAATTTTTTTCTAAAAACTATTTTGAAACCAAATTTTGGACGTCCAATCCTCTATTAAACTCCACTAGCGAAAATTATTAAAAAAATATTCCAATAAATGAAATTACCAAAATACTCTTGAAAAGATTCAAGGGGTATTTTGGTCATTATATTTCATCGAAAAATTATTTTAAATATTTTTTTATAAGTTCTCCCCAATGAGAAGATGGCATGTACTTCATTTCATGTTCATACAATTTATATAAAAAAAACTAAAAAAAAAATACTTTGAAACATCAGATCTAAGATCAAACGGTGAGTGACTTTCTTGATCAAAATTGGACAGCTGGATGGTAGGGGAAGCATAGATCTTCTATGCTGTAGGGGAAGTATAGAAACCTTTCACATACCTTATATATTAACTTATATATTAACTTGGTATACAATATCCACTTTCATTTCACACTCCCCTCAAACTCAAGATGCTATGAGAGAGAGTAGCTGGAGTTTGAACACTAAGTTGTAGAAATGAGTTGTTGGATTCTTCAGGTTTTTCAGGTGTATACTCGGATTTCTTGATTAACAAACACAATCTGATCAACAAACACAGAGGAAGAACAGACCAGGCAGGCTAAAGCAATTACAGATCAACAAGCCTTAGAAACAAGAACAATAATATTAGAAGTTTGACCAGCAACCAATCAATAAGCCTTAGAAACGTACAGCTTGAATAGAGCAGGCCCGAGTAACAACAGATCAGCAGGGCTCATGAACAGATGGCCCGAATAGAGTAGACTCGAGCAACATACAAAACTTCAGATTTTCTCCATATACAAGAAAAACAATCGAGTCAAACAGAATTCAGATAGTCGAAAACGACTCGGCAGATAGACAGATCTAAAAGTTGAAACACAACTCAGCAAAGAGTCGAAACATGACTCAACAGAAGTTGCACCTACTGGGTGAGCAACATACTTGTCTTGAAAATCGGTGAATATGCTTCATGGACAAGGAATGGACACAACTAGGATGAATCTTCGATATAGTATAAGTATATGTGATGTATTTATATTTTCTTGTCATCTGTAATTGTCTATGTATATTCATACAATTAATGGACACTGAGTCTCTTCAGAGAAACCTAAGACTCTTCACATAATATCAGAGCCAGATGATTCATCGTGTCCATTCATGTATGATCAAGTATGTTATTCCTCAATCCTATCCCATCCGATTGAGCCATGAAACTGTCAGATCTTTTTTATCTGTTCTATGATAGGTCATGTATGCTTTGATGTTGTCTTTCTCTCTCTAGAAACTGATAATGTTCTCTGATTTTGTGCAGTAAGCCATTGATTGACCAGAGAGCTTTTGAAGGTCATCGAGAAATAATTTATCAATCATGTGATGACCATAGAGTCCATAAACTATCGCTTCCAATTTAGCCTTTATGTTTTCCTCTATTTTTCTCTATCCCATGCCTTAACTTTTGTATTTTCTCTTCCATTTTTCAGACCAAGCTCTGTTTATTTATCGAGGAAGTTGACCCTCTCGACCTCTTTTGTCATAATTGTTGGCATGCTCATAACCAGTTCTAAGCACTCTTGAATCATGTGAGCCTTTGTTCTTTGTAATATTATCTTTCCTATTGAAACTACTCCAACGATATAGTCAAGAAAATCTGTTGTTTGTCATAAACATGAGAAGGGGCTGGTGCTTTTTGTTTGCCAATGTAAGAGAGAGGGTTGCTGCTGATTTGGTTTCATAATATCAGCAACCAAGTATTCCTGCAGCCGAGAGTTGCTGCTAATTTGGTTTCATAATATCAGCAACCAAGTATTCCTGCAGCCGTCCCTACATTCGTCTCATATGCCTTCTGCCCCACTATCAAGTTTAGTCCCAAGATCAACCGTGGTGTGTGTGTGTATGTGAGAGAGAGGGGCGGTATACTCCTCTAGAAAGAGAGAGAAAGATGATTAGTGCCCAGAGTTTTAGAAACACCATGGATGCTACTCTTATAATGAAGCCGTGATTTTTACCGCACATTCTCTAATTTTGGTATCTCTCTTCCTTTGTTTCTCATGGATTTTCTATTTATAGTCAAAGCATTTTTTTTTTTTTTAAAAAAAGCTCTGTTTCAGCAATGGCTCTGCATGCTTCACAAATCACAGATAGCTATACTATATCCAGACTTACCATAAATATAAGAGATTGTACCTACCCTTCCCATATATACTAATTGTAATATATACCTTCCATATTAACCTGGTAGACAATATATATTTTTTCTTCACATATGGTAGATAGATAGATAGTAAATATGTGAGTAGGGTTACATAGAAAGCTTTTTCGATGATATTTAGAACAAAAACTTATTTCACTTATTCTTATTATCTGATCTAAAACTTATTTTGGTATTACAAAGTAATCTATATTCAGAGAGATTTTACGATGAGGTTGGGTTTTATTCATTTTTATCAGTAAATTTGAAATTCTAGCTTTCAAACTTGTTATTTATTTTTATGAATAAAAAATTGGCTCTAGAACAAGATCTCATAATCGAGTTTTTATTGCATAATTGAAAAAAGATCTCAATACAAAAGTTGCATTTTCAATCAAGTTGCATTGTCAATCCACCCAAACATTTAGATTATTTTTGGGCTCAAAGTGTAGTTCAAAAGTACAGCCGTTGGACTAATTATTGTTAATCGACAATTGAAATATTTTATTTCAATATCATCAATCTTTACAATAGGTTGAAAATATATTTTCATATTTAATTATAATCAGGCAGATTTATAACTATTTGGCAGTCTAGATAATACATAATGCACTATTTTTAAAATTTGAAATAATTTTTTTCTCATATCTGTACATCGTGAGGTCGAGAGGATCGAACTTGAGGGTTTTTCAACAGTGAAATACTCTTCCAGTAAATTTTCGAGATGCGCCGGATTGTTCCGGGGCTCAACCTTATTTTCAAAAAATAACATCTCAAGATTGAGTACAAATCATCCAATTTTTAAAAGAGTGAGACATTAGTATAGACAACTTTTGCATGGTAGATGCCCTACTTCTCTTCATCGCTCTTTATCGCTCTGCAACATCTCCTCTCCTCCTTATTGTTGTTTAATAATCAATAATGGCACCACCCAGTAGTATCCTTCTATGCGACGACGTCTTAGGCCGGTTCTTTAATAATCAATAATGGCACCACGCAGAATCCTCCTATGCGGCGACGTCTTAGGCCGGTTCAATATCCTTTTCAAGCGACTCACATCTGTAAGCTCCAAAGCCCTTTTTACTTCTCTCTCTCTTCTTCTTCTTACTCGTCTTCTACTCTTCCTTCTCTCTCATCCCCCTTTTCTGCCCATACTGCTTCTCACTGTTCCTTGCTTGCCCATACTCACAGGTGAGTAAGTCTAATGGCCCTTTGGACGCCCTGCTCTGTGTGGGTCAGTTCTTCCCCAACAACGCCGAAGAAGTCGAGGAGATGATGCGTTATATACGTGGGGATGAACCAGTTCCAATCCCCACTTATTTTATTGGTGATTATGGAGCTGTTGCCTTGAAGCTCTTCTCATCTGCTGCTTCCCAATATGGATTTAAAACTGATGGGATAAAGATTTGTGAAAACCTTTTCTGGCTAAAGGGAAGTGGGAGATTTACCCTTCATGGTATGTATGTGAATTCTATAAGGAAAATTGTTTCATGCGGGCTGGACCGCATTTGTCCATATGCGGTCCAGGAAGCGTAAAGCATCCATCTTAAAGATGGATGAAAGATGGATGCAAGTAGGTGTTCCATATAAAAACAATGGCAAATAACGGTTCAACTGTTTTCTTACTAGAATTATTATTTCTAGTTTCTAAAATTTATTTATTTCTTCATATTCATGATCTCCATACTAGAGATTCCATCTCCTTAAAATTCAAGTCTTAAATTTCATTTCAAAAATAGATTTTTGAGGCCTGCATTTCTACATATGCGGGCTTGGCCGTATAGAAACCAGGTCCATTCTATAATGGGTTGTAATTGCACTTGACTATAATTTTCCAGAATTTCATCTGCTTGTTTCTTGGCGATTGTATCTTGAATTAATCAGTTTTACTATGGTGGACCCCCAAATTGTTTGCTTGTTTGTTTTCCAAGGGGTTCATGAAGCGCATTCAGTTTGGAGGGTGTAACTTTTCACCCTGATATCCATTTGGAGTGATTCAATAGCAAATAAAAACTTTCTCCTAGAAGTTTTCAGTTTCCCCTAAATCCGATGTCTTGAGCAAATCATGGTTGAAAGCATGTTGAAAAATTCAATTACTAATTTTCATATAAATAGGTCATGTGATTTACTTAGGAAAGTCAGAATCCCTTTTAGCTTTTAGAATGTTGTTCCTTTTTCATATTTGCAAGGATAGCTTATTATTTTTGTTTAAACTTTAAAAGCTATAGAAAATACACTTTCCATGGTTTGTAAGAGTCTAGTTTCTTTAAAAGGATAAAACTATGAATGAACTAGTTAATTTAAAGATAATGGAAGCCTAAGAAGTTTTGGAAAATATAGAGGATCTACAAGCCTATAAAGTTTAGGAAATAAGTTGAAGACTAAGTTAAATCAAATAAATAGGGATTTTGGCTAGTCTAGGTAATAGGCAGGCTAGGCATGGGGTTGGCCTGTGCCAGGGTCCATTTTGAAGCTTGGCCCATAGGCCCAGCCCTACCTAAAATGTTTTAGGAAGAAGTTTTAAAAATATATATAAGTTGATTTGAAACAATCTGGAAGCCTAGGAGGTTTAGGAAAATAAAGATAGCTTGAGTATTGAAACAATCGAGAAGCCTAGGAAGTTTAGGAAAATGAAGATAGTATGAGTCCCAAGCTTATTTAAACTAGGATTGGCAACCATCCCTAATGAAGATAGCTTGAGTCCTAAGCTTAGTCAAATAAATGGGGATTCAAACTAGGACTGGCAACCATCCCCATAAAGCTCGGGCTGGGGCCACTAAATTTGGCCCACTGCTTGGGCCTTGTCTTGAATTCCAGTTCGGTTGTTGGGTTGCACCAATCCTGGGCCATGGAATCATGGTCCAGCATGGCTCATAGGCCTAACCCGACATGTTTGTTCTTTAGGAGTTTTGAAAAAATACATAAAAAGTTTGTTAAAGGTTACATGGAATTTATATCCAAGCAATATTGATTAGCTAGCCAATAAAACCCCAACTTATAAGTTAGAAACTATTTGACTTTTAAATTATACAATCGATATAGTGTTCCCAACCTATATGCATTCCATAAACTATCAATAATCATATATAGAACTTTATTCTCTCCCTCTTAGCTACAAAACTATGTTTTTCTCCTTCTTTAATGCCCAAATTTTGTTTCATTCTCTCCCCTAGCCTCAAAACTAGCTCTCTATAACTCCACAAATCTAGCTCTTTCTCTAACCCACAAACTAAGTGACTCTCTCTAACCCACAAACCAATGTCTTTAAGCTAGGAAGAGGAGCTCTATGATGCAGGTCCAATTGCTGCCCCTTCCTTCTCCAGGCCATCCGTCAAATGGTTGGCCTCTCTTGGTATGTTTCTGAAACTGACTTGTAACGTCTGACATAAAAGGTGATATTTCATAAAGGTACCCTAGTCACCAACTCACCATGGGCTTTGAACACTTTTTGAAGCCCTTGCAATGACGTAAAAGGTGTATATTGTCATAAAGGTACCCCCAATCTCCATGGATTTTGAACACGTTTTGAAGCCCATGCAATGACATTTCTAGAGTCACCCACTCACCTGCAATGATAAGGTGGGTTATAAGGATATTGGCTTGCTGAATACATTTGAGGCCTTCTAAAAGTGTAATAGACTCTACCATGGTGGATTCGGTGCGACCAATAAATACTGAGAAAGAGAGGATAGTGCGCTCCGGATACCTTTGGAGCTTCATTGACTGGGTTTCCCTGGGGAGCAGCCGTCCATGTTTAATTTGGGGACCCTATGGAAGGATAGGCCCGGACTGTGTATCTGATTTGGGGTGAGGGATGCATTCTCAATGATTGAGGAACTTAGAGGTTTCCAAATTCCTTTGGCCTTTAAAACCCATAGGCCAAAGGATTGTCTTAGCTTTGATGTCATCGTGAATGGTTGTTACAAGGTTATTTGTGATTGAAAGATCATGGAATTTCTCTCATTTCAAATAACCCATAAGATAGCTGTTACTGGGGCCTTCTTTTGGAATTCACCTATTCTGGGGAAGATTGCGGTTAGGAAGATGATGAAGAGTTGGGGGACTAATGCTGGGATGACCCAATGTCACTCGAAAGCTTGGAGGAGGTTTGACCATTCTACGGAGGCCACCCCATAGGGGATAATGAGATAGCGATAGTTTCTTCTTGTATACACATCACACAATGGTTTGCCAGCTGGATGCCTCATAGTTACCGGGATCACTTAGTAGTTGGTGGTCCATTCTAGAAGCCCGATCGTAAGATCTCAGAAAGAGATCTTTTACGTATCTCATTTTTTAGAATTTTGGATATACAAAAACTAATAGAGGAATTGGGAATACGCTGATTCAAATATATAAAAACAGAGGACTCACTAGTCATGTGGTTGGAGGCTCCCAACCTTAAGGAGTAAGTTTTTGAGATGCGAGAAGCACATTAATACCCGAGTTAGCAAGGGTCATAATGGAAGTGGAAGGGTGGATGGTAGGCTGCTATACTGGTTTAACAAGTTTGTTACATTCATCAATTGAAAGCACAACCACCATCAGTCAAATTGTTGGCCTCTTTTAGTATGTTTCTGAAACTAACTTGTAAAGTCTAACATAAAAGGTGTATATTATCATAGAGGTGCCCTAATCGGCATGAGCTTTAACACATCTTGAAGCCCATGCAATGACATTCTTAGAGCCACCCACTCACCTGCAATGATAAAGTGGGTTATAAGGATATTGGCATGCTGAGTACATTTGAGGCCTTCTAAAAGAGTAATAGTCTCTACCATGGTGGATTCGGTGTGACCAATAAATCCTTAGAAAGAAAGAATTGGGCACCCTTTCAAATACCCCCAGAGCCTGACTGACTGGGTTTCTTAGGGGAGTAGCCGTCCATGTTTAATTTGAGGACCCTATGGAAGGAGAGGCCCGGACCGTGTGTCTGATTTGAGGTAAGGGATGCCATCTCAATGATTGATGAAGTTAGAGGTTCCCAAATCCCTTAGTCCAAAGGATTGTCTCAGTTTTGATGTCATCTTGAACGGTCGATACAAGGTTACTCATGCTTGAAAAATCATGAAATTTCTCTCCTTCCAAAAAATCCTTAAGGTAGCCATTACTGGGGCCTTCTTTTGGAATCCACCTATTTTGGAGAAGGTCGCTGTTAGGAAGACGGTAAAAGAGTTGAGGGATTGATGTCGGGATGACCCAATGTCACTCGAAAGCTTGGAGGTGGTTGGACCATTTTACGGAGGCCACTCCATAGTGCATAAAGAGATGGTGATAGTTTCATCTTGTAGACACATCACACAATGGTTTAGCAGCTGGATGCCTCATAGTTACCGGGATCACCTACTTTAGTTGGTGATCCATTCCAAAAGCTCGATCGTAAGATCCTAGAAAGGGATCTTCTACGTATCTCATTTTTTAGAATTTTGGATATACAAAATGTAATAGAGGAATTGGGAATACACTTATCCAGATGTACAAAAATAGAGGATTCACTAGTCATGTGGTCGGAAGCTCCAAACCTTACGTAGTAAGTTTTTGAGATGCAAGAAGCACATAAATATCTGAGTTAACAAGGGTCATAGTGGACGTGAAAAGGTGGATGATAGGCTGCTATAATGGTTTAACAAGTTTATTACATTCTTCTATTGAAAGCACAATGGAATCACCTACATAGTTTTACTATTGTTGAAGTTATCATCCTCAGATATATAACAAACCTGATTTTCCCAAGCAAGCTTATCAACCTTATCTCAAAGTTTTGAGTTCGACGACTCTTGCCTCCATTGCTTCTACTGTGGCTTCTCCCTAAGCAGGACCACACCCCTGACCTCTACCTCCATCATCTCTCCCCGCAATATATTCAATGCTGATCCATCAGTAAAACTCAAGTTAGAAGAAGGCATAGGATAGATAAATATATTGACATGTTGAATGCATGCATACACATTATTAAGGGGCAGTAGCTCACTGCTTGCAACAATTTGTCCATGAACACAATGTTACTTAGGATTGAGGCCTAGTAAAAATTTGGTAACTTTAAATTCTTCACGCTGCTTCCTCTGTAATTCCTCATCACCAAATATAGGCTGATTTAGATTCAACTTTTCTCACATATCTCTAAGGGCAGTAGAACATGCAGTCAGACTCTTATTATTACCCTATTGCAATCAGAACATTTTCTTAAGCAGTTCATATATCTGAGAGAGATTCTTATATGGCAAATATGTTTCTTTCAAAGTATCCTAAATTTCTTTTTGCGGTGTCGAGAAACCTCCATTTCCTGAGGTTCCATACTACTTCACTACCAAGTCAAAACCTCCATTCATGAGGTTCCATACTGCTTCATAACCAAGTCATGAACTCGTGATAACATATTTCTGTCTCATCTACTCTTCATACCCACTATCAGATTCACTAGGTTTGTCCTCAGTCAAGTACTTCAATTTTCCCCCAGCACCAAGGTATACCTTAACAGATTAAGCCCATACAACATAACTGAACTCATTTAATTTTTCTGAAGTAATTTTTGTCCCCACATGTTCAGGAAAGCTGAAGGTTCTGGGTTTAATTTCATTATCCATGATTGTGTGAAATGAAAGATAAAGGAGACAACCGGAATCAACCGAATACAATCACCACGCCAAGGCTAGTGTAATGCTAGGAATGACTTTGAAAGAAAAGAGAGAGAGAGAGAGATACTTATCATTCAGATCTAAGCAGTCACTTTCTCATACTTGAATAAACTTGGGCAACACCCATTATCCAAACCTGAGCGTCACCATGTTGCAACTCTTTGAGTAGACTAGGGGAGCATTTATACACACAAAGCATCTAGGGTTTTTGAGAGAAAACTTTGGCAAATGATTCATAGTTGCCCACAAACCTTGAAACTAGGCAATTGTTCCTCTATGGAACTCGACCTTAAAGTGGGTTGACACAAACAATAGCATCACCACACTAAATGTAGACGCACATGGGTTTCTGTTTACAAAATCCTATGAAACAACCCTAGGAAGTAGCCCTAATTTTTTGTATCACACATTCCAAGAATTGATTCTAGGTTTTGGTTAAAAAACTATCCAAGGATTGAGAAAAATATTTAGGGTAGAGGAGAAGGGCAAGAGGGAAGAAAGGATGAAGAGCAAGAGGGATGAAAGGATCAATGCTCTGATACCATGTCAAAGAAGAGAGAGAGAGAGATGAAAATAAAAGACGGAGAAGAAGGGGGAGTGACGTGAGAGTCCAATTAGGTTTCTTGCACCTCTCAAATCGCTTTCATAGTAATGAAAGTAGAAAAATGGTAATATGCCATACAAATTGGAAATAAAACATGTAGGTCCTAATAACTTAACGAAAGAGAAATAAAGATAGAACGACGTTTGGAAAAACTCTTGATTGTGGACTTAATCCAACAAATTTGTGATGTGGGTGGAAAATCGATTTCGAAGCCAAAATCCCTTGCACCTTCCACCACCTCTATTGCATGCTCTACAAGCACATCAAATTTTAAGCATCACCAAATTACTTCAATTAACATTAGTTCTTTGTCAAGTGGAAAGCCCAAGAAAAAACTAACATTTCAACAAAATCAGGAGAGTTGAATTCCTTTTAATTGGAGGAGAATGATGCAGTCAGCTTTAAAAGGACGTAATTTTTCACCTTTATGTCCTATTTTAATTGATTCAAATCTCAAAATTTTGAGATCTACGACTAGTATTGCTATATTTTTCCCTTAATTAGAAGGTTTCAATCTCCAATCATGGTCAAAAGCCTGTTGAGAAATTCAATTAGGAATTTGACATTAATTAGGTCTATTTAGTTTAATCAGGAAAGAGGAATTCAGACCCTTATAAATACCATGTCAGACCCTAGGCTAGATTAAATTGAGTTGATAATGAATTTCCCTTTGGTATTAATTCCATCATTAGGTGTCGCTGCCTCCTTCCATGGTCTTGAGACTTGATTTCATAATTCCTGCTTTTTGGGTTGGTGTTGATGCCTAACAATTGCAGTCCTCCCATAAGATGTTGTTTGCTTATCCAATTTAAGTTTTTTTTTTTTCTTTTCCTCCATTATTTCACTCGTTTTCTGTTCTTCAGTCCTTCTATCCCACCATCGCACCAAAACCCTGAGAAAGCACCCCTTTGTCATCTCAAAAGCTCTTCAAAACCCTAGGACAATTGACCCCAACAAACCTTACTTACCTATATATGGTACATTCTTAGTCTTTTGTATCCTAAAACCAACCCAAGTTAGCTTCCTTTCATTCTTGTGTCTTGATAAACTAGGAATTCTAGACGGTGTAATCTCTCTAGAAACCTTAAAACCTTTCCTAAATGTTGTCAGAACCCAATAAACCCTTCCCTGTAGCCCTAACCATAAATCTACTTCATTGAGACCTTGTATTATTGATCTACCCCAAATACCGTGCTGCCATATATCCTGGTATAATTAGGATACCCAATCCAAAACAAACCCCTTTCTTCCTGACCCCACATGGGTTAGGGAGAGTTTCTGTGCTATTAAAAAAAATAAATTTAGGATATTAAAAAATTGATTTTGTTAAGTTGCCGTTAATTCAAAAGTTAATCAATTGTCATAGCAAGTAACTTACACCTAAACGAGGAGTAAAACAGAGGTAATTTTCAGTGTTTTGGTTAACCGTGCAGTGCATAGATGATGTTATCAAGCTTGGCAACATAGTTGAAATCGTGCAACTTAATAAAGACAATAAAATTGACATGAATAGATCAGATGAATGGAATTTGTATGCTATGAGCAAGAAAAATCTTTCTTGCCAAAGACCAAAGTAAATTCCCTTTACAATGTAATGGCCTGCTATGTAACTTGATGTGTTTGAACTTTTTGATTGGTGCCTGATGGTTTTGACCCAGTTAATTTTCAGTGCTTTTAATCATCTAATAACGGCACAGCACTTGTAAAATGCATTTGATACTTGATTCACCATTGAATGAATTGTTTTGTATGACTGTAATTGGTCCCATTCCCATTGTGGTGGCAACCTCTATGATGATGTCCCTAGCACACTAACTGAAACCTGTCCAAGCATGGATTCCTTTTATTCCAAAATTCATAATTGCTCTCCTAGAGCACACTTTTCATGGACTTCATTCCAAACCAGTTTAACCTCGCTGAAAAGATCAAGGGAAGTGCAACCAGAAGCTGTACATTCCATGTTTCATCGTCTGTTCAATTCTTGTGGTTGGCTCCAAAAACTGGGAAATAGTAGCATTAGTTTGTTGTTCTAAGTCGGTGGTCTCTGGTAAATGACTTACTGAACCAGTGGGTTTTTCTCAAAGGTAATTCACAGAAAACTCTGAGTAGAACTGTGAATACCACTTGATTATGGTTCGCATGGAGTTTTGGTATGAACTATCTGTAACCCACCCATCAAAACCGTCACCTCAAATGAAGTTCCCATTCAAAATTCCTTGCTGATTACCACTTGAAATGGTGGTTGGTATTTCAGGGTGCCTGTGATCAATACGTTGCTAGACCCATGGTTCTCAAGTCTATAGAAAGAGTTTCATTCAGTGGTCATGCATAGAAACTGATGCTCTTCGGGTCAGCTAATAGTTAGACTTCTGTCCCTATCAATGATAGAAATAAGCTCTGATAGGATTGAAAATGTGGATTTCATCACCATTCTAAAGTTTTATGACCCCAGTGTAGAATGGATTGATATTTCTTGGCAGAAAATGGTCATATACTGCATAAGCGTGATGCATGCCAAAGTGAAGATCAATTACTTGGATTAGGAATTGATGTGCTAGTGCGTATGGGGAACTCCGGCAATGACTCTTAGAGAAATATGTCCCATATTCCATATTTGTAGTACTTGCCTTCTATATATTTTTTCCTTGCATTTGCTTGTCCATAATCTGAAATGAAATGCCTTCTATATATCCAGTTATTTCTTGCTTTGTGGAAAGAAATGCTGAACTGTGCTTTCCAGTATGTTAACCTTGTTACTTATTCATTGGTATCTTTGTAGGTTTGTCTGTAGTTTACTTATCTGGCCGACACTCGTCAAATGATCAACTAATCGGAGCATGAAATGATGATGACATTGATGCATTGCGTGCTTTGGCTGAAGAACCTGGGATATTTGATCTTTTTCTAACATATCCTTATTGATGCAAACACAACATCTATTGCATGCTTGGATCTTGATAAAGTTCCAAGAGATTCGGCTTTATTTGTTTTTTTTTTGAAAACTATTCTTATTTTATTTTATTTTATATATAAAGTGAGAGGAAAACCCCTTTTATTCTTGCTCCAAGTGTCTTTTTCATTTCCATTTTAATCCTCTTAATTTTATATTATTTCTATTTTGTCCTTGTATTCATTCTTTTTATTTAGTCTCTCTCCTCTATTTAGATATTTTATATTTTATTCTCTCTCAATGACTCCCTCTCAACAGATTATTTCTCTCTTCGGTCTCAACAGATTATCTCTCTTGCTCTCTCTCTTCCCGAACTCTATTTCCTCATTCTCTCTCGTAATTTTTTTTTTATGTTTAATGATACTCTCTCACCTATTTATTTATTAGATATGCATGCGAACTATGTTTATGGAGCTCTATTTACTCTCTATTATTTCTATTTTATCCTTTAATGATCTCTCTCTCTTAGGTTGTTGCCTCTCTCACCTCTTTGTTATAATTAGAAATGCTCGCAAACTACATCTATGGAGATTTTATCCTCCTCTCTCTCAATGAACTCTATCTCCTCTCATTTGTTCTCTACCCCCACTCTATTTACTCTCTACTCTATTTATGTAGGTTTTGTTCTCTCTCCTTTCTCTCAACAAACTTCCAGTTCTCTCTCTATTTACTCTCTCTTTTTCGCTCTCTCAATGGTTCTTCACTCTCTCTCTCTCTCTCTTAACTAACTCCCTCTGTCTTTCTTCTCTCTCAACTGACTTGTTTGCTCTCTTTCCCCCTCCTCCCAAAGGAAAATTAAACATTCTTTACTCTCTCACCTATTTATTAGTTTTCGATGTGCATGAAAAGTTTTTGGAAAGGACTCTTCATTAGATATGCATGCAAATTCTTTTTGGTGCATTTAATGAGGAGAAACCAAGAAAGAGAACCATTTATGAGCTTTCTTTTTCTTTGTTCTTTTTAGCCCTAACAGGGGACCAGGATGAGGTCTTCTCCCTTTTTCGTTCTAAAAGCATCTATAAATCTTGCTTCAATTGTTATATTACGGTAGATATACTCTCTCTCTAATTAGGTATGTTTATTTTTCTTTTCCATATATTGTTTTCTTTAATGGTTTTTGAGAGTACGTAGATACCTTTCTCTCTTTAAAAACTTTCATATTTTGCTTCACATGTAGGTCAAAGAAACTCTCTCTTTCATGCTAGAAATTATTTTCGATGAGTAAAGAATTATATGTGAATACTGATGGGTTTTGAAGGGGATTGGTTGATAAAATCATGTATTGTTAATTATCAATATTAAATAAAATTATTATATTTAATGATTTTGATTATACAAATTATATAGTTTGGCGAATAATATTGTTATCCAAATTTAAAAATATATTTTGATAATTGCTATTTGCACCCCCTCTTTCTCTCTAGATCCTTCTTTCTCTTGCAATTTTTATTTGGGTAATTAGTTTAGTTTAGAGAAGACGGAAAATAGAATATGCAAATACATAAACTCCAATGTATCTTCCTTCAAAAAATAAACTATAATGTATCTTCTGTAAGTGCATCTCTATCGACATTGCTTACCCCTTCCACTCAAAAGGTTTTTCTCTACATTATCTAAAAACAAAAAAAGGTTCTCTTAAAAAAACCCTATTATTTATTTGTAGCTTATGTTTAGGTGCTTGGGGATATGTAGCCCCATTTTTTCTTCTCTCTTACTGGTTGAACTTCTTTTTTACTGGAGAAAGTGGTGGGTACAATTTTTTATATTTTAAATTTTTTTTGTCTAATTTTTATATTTTTAGCTTAGAAAATTTATTTCTAGAATATGCTATATTTAATAGAAATAATAAAATCTGCAACATTTTATTTGGAATTAGTATTGTGAAATAATAATAAGTATTCTAATTTTGATTTTTATATTAGATAAAAGAATACTAATTTATTGTAATATTCATTACAATAATTATGTTATTTTTAACAATGATGTCAATTTAAGTATTATTATAACAGTTACAAATTATAATACTATTATATTTAATGCAATTAATTGTCATTCGTTATGTATTATCATTCACAATTAGAATAAAAAAATTACAAGACTTAGTAACTTAAAACAAAGAAATTAGTATTCCTTATTAAATTCTAATGTTAATTTTATAAATAATAAATTAGTATTCTATAATGACTTGAATATAAAAGACTTTTTTTTTGTCCATTTTTTTTAAAATCAATTTTTTTGTTTTTCTTAAGGTGATATCTAGGATTTAGTAACTAAAAAAAAGGAATTAGTAATTAAATATGTATTTTAATAAATTTATAAATTAGTAATTAAATATGTATTTTAATAAATTTATAAAAATAAAATAAAATTATTAATTAAAAGGAAAATGGCACATTGCACTAAAGCTTTCTTATTTTATACAAAAGGATCAAATTTTCCCATTTCCACCTCATTCACTTTATAATATTATATTTTCTTAGTTTGTTTTGGGTAAGTCAGTGGGGGAGAAGGGCCCCTACCTGATTTTTCATTAATAGAAAAGGGATAACATGTTATTATACAACCCTATAATAGGGCAGTTGCGTCAAATCATGTAGTAACAAAAGAGAGAAAGTTAGGCGGACGACTATTTCAAATAGTGGCTCCTGTATAAATTGATCCTCTCTTAGCGAGGGCTTCAACTACCATATTCGCCTTGTGAAAAACATGAGCAATAGACCACCTTTGAGACGATAACCGTGCATGACAATTGTAAACTATCGTTTGTAATCTCCAATGAGTACGACGTTGATTTTTAATGGCATCTACTAGTAGAGATGAGTCACTCTCTATTTGTATCGGGAAGTAGCCCTTTTGAATAGCTAAAAGAATGTCTTTTTATAGAGCCTGGATTTCTGCAAAATTATTTGACGCAAAACCAAAGTGGATTTCTGCAAAATTATTTGACGCAAAACCAAAGTGTTTAGCAAATGCTGCCACAAATCCACCATTGCAGTTTCTTTTGACCCCACCACCACCTGCCAAGCCAGGGTCGTGCAAGGCTGCTCCATCAATGCTCAACTTATAACAACAAGCTTTTGGAAGTGACCATGCGACTGGGAACATGCATTTTGGCTTCAGCTGGTGCCACTTAATCTGTAGATTGCCAATAATCACCTTTTCTGATAGATGAAAGGCCCATTTTTTAACTTCTGCAATGGCCTTTACATGTGAAGCAATCCGAACGACAACTTGCTCTCTTCTTGATGTGTTAGTTCGAAAGATTCTTCTGTTTAGCTCCTCCCATAGAAACCAGATTGTCGTGATGGAGATAGCCGTCCAGATGTTAAGAAATCCCTCTGATTTGAATTTGAAGGCTAGCCAACTACGAAGACTATCTTGGCCCGAAGTTCCAAGCACAAACCTCTTGCCACACCGCCAAGCTAAAGACCGCCAAATACCTGGCGAAAAATTGCAATGAAATAGGAGATCACATTGGTTTTCTTCATTGTTCCTGCAAAAAGGACAGATAGTAGCCATATGAATACCCCGTTGCTGAAAATGGATGTAGTCGTAGTCGATTGTGCATAGCTAGCCTGGAGAACCACTTGGCCCGTGGATGACATTTGGCTGACGAAACATCACGAAATACAGGTTGAGGTGAGCTTTTATAATGAATAAAGTTCCATGCTTCTTTGATTGAAAAGGTTCCACAAGCAGAATGGATCCATACCAATGAATCCTTCTTATGCTGCAATGGAAGGATATGATGTTCTACATCGCTCCATATGCTGTTCAACAAAGTGGAGGAAGATAAAGGCAATGCCCACGATTGGGGGTTACCATCAATAAAATCAGAAACCTTTCGCCCTCTAAGATTCCTCAAATCTATATGTCCATTATCCTCCAAAGAATCCCAGATCGACTGTGCTGACAGCCATAGGTCCATCAAGAAATCCACCATCTGTCCGTTACTGATGCACCACTGAACATTGTCCTTGAGTTGAGATAATCCGAAATAAATGCCCTTCCATGCATGAAAACAACCCGTCTTAGCTACAAACTCCCACTCCCAAATGGAACACACTCTGAAATATCTGTGCTTGAAAAAACCGGCAACTAAAGAAGATGGATATGTTAAAATTCTTCAGGCAAGTTTAATCATACCTGTAGTATTAAAGTCCGTCAAATCTCTCACCCCCAGCCCACCCTCCTCCCAAGGAAGGCATACTGTCCTCCATTTAACAAGATGGACGCCCCCATTGTCCTCCATTTAACAAGATGGACACCCCCATTTTCTACAACTCTTGCCCATAGAAAATTCCGTTGAAGCCTCTCTATCGTATTACAAGTTTTCCTTGGCAGCATAAAGACAATATCCAGAAAGTAACAGAAGCGCTAAGAACTGACTTAAGCAATTGAAGGCGTCCTGCATAAGATAAACATAAGGCTTGTCATGTACCTATCTTAACCATCACCTTTCCAACCAAGCTTTGATAGTAACTGTGTCGTAGATGCCCATGAAACAATGGTAACCCCAGATATCGCACCGGCAAATAGCCTTCAGTGAACCCCAACTCTCTCAAAATCCGTGCTCGATTACCTTGTACCCCAAATATGAAAACATTGTTTTTCACAGAATTTAACATCTGACTAGTAGTGTTTTCAAAAGTAGTGACAACCGCCTTCATAGCAGTGGCAAAGGCATCGGATGCCCCACAGAATATAACGACATCATCAACATAGAATAAGTGAGACACCCCATAGTCGCACCCAGAGGGGAAGGCTCTGGGTATCAATCCCTGCAACATAGCCTGGTCTATTTGCCTATTACAGAAGTCCATGACCAGCAGAAAAAATATATTTTTTTAGTTGCGAGGCTTTTACAAACCTGTAAGACAAAAAAAAGATAAAAGGGTGAGAAAAAGTGCTCAACTTACATATTTTATGATATGTTAATATTAATAACATCGACTCCACTATCATGTTCATGTTTTCCTAATTAGGAAATTCATTCTTGCAATAGATGGTCTCTCTTATTATGGATTAGAAAGATAACTTCTCTCATTAGGTTCTTCCCACTACGCCCTCCTCTCTCTCTCTCT